CTGGAGCTGCTAGCTCCACTGTCTAGGAATCCCACCTTCCGCCCCTGTCTCCTAGTTCTGCTGCTGCTGCTGCTGCTGCTGCTGCTGCTGCTGCTTTCCATCCTGTGCCATCTTCAGTGTTACAGCTCTCTTTGCCCGTAGATTTAGGAAGTTCTTAGTATAGAGTCCTGGATCCAAAGGAAATACTGGTTCTTTCATCGTGATAGCCTTTAGTTTCTTCCTTCTACAGGGATTGGTTCTTTTTTAAGCCTAATGAGATGCCAAAATTGACCAGTTCCTTTATTAGAGGTCCTTACACCTTATTTGAACAGCCCTATCCTCACAAGTGTTCCATGTGTCCTTGTTTTGTTTTTAGTACAATTACATATTTGTAAATGTTCCATGTATCTTATCTGTAGTATTAGCAGACTGTTCAGTCCCCTTGGTGGGCTACAGCAATCTAGTTGCATAGTCCCACCCTATCATTTTGTGGGGGTCCCATGATCATGCATGACTTCAAATGCTATATTAAGTAATTTATTGTACCACAATGATGTATATGTGTATTTGTCTACGGTATTATCGCTTGCATTTATGTTTCTTTGTGTACACACACATACGTGCACACATGCACGCTACTGTAATTAAAAATTTTATATCCATAAAAGTTTTTTGCAAGCTTGATAATACCAATTATTGGTGAAGATATAGAAAACAAGACTTTTTTATACATTGCCAGTGAAGGTATAAATTAATGTGCTTTAAAGACACATAAGTAGTCAAGTTGGAAATGTCTATAGTCTGCAACCTGAAATTCCACTTTTAGGTGGTCTGCACTGCAGAAACTCTTACATGTGTGCCTAAAGAGACACGTACAAAGGATGTTACTGCAACATTTATTATAATAGTGGAGAAGCAGAAACTATCTAATTGTGCCTGAGTAGAGAGAGGAGTGAAGAAACTTCTTACAAGGAACTATTAGGCTGACATAAAAATAAGTGAACTAGATAGAGCCTTGTTTATCAACATGAAACTCTAAAACAATATTGAGTCCTAAAAGTGAGGGGCCAAAAGATTTACAGCATTGTTGATACTGTTTTTATGTTAATATTCAGAACAGAAAAATTACATAATACTCATGGGTGTGTGTGTGTGTGTGTGTGTGTATTAAAACCCCACACCCAAAAAACATGTCTGAGGATGGCACACACCAGAGAGTGATACAGACCAATTTCAGCATGTAGTTAAGTAAGGGAAACAATGAACCAGTAGACATGTGATTTAATTTCTTCTCTAAAAGGCAGAAAATTGAAGGAAATTTGGCAAGATGTTAAAGTTTATGTAAGTTCAGTGGTAGGTTCACTTGTATTATTGTTTGTATATTTCAAAATTTGAAGATTAATTTTGTTTTTATGTTTAGCTTGAAGCTCAACTTGAGAAAAAAGATCAACAATTTAAAGAACAAGAAAAGACAATGTCCTTGTTGCAACAAGATATCATATGTAAACATCATCATCTTGAGTCGCTAGATAGACTCTTGACAGAAAGCAAAGGGGTAAAACTATCTTTATAAAAATATTACTCAAAAGCTGACTAATTTTAAATTTGTTTCTCTAACATACCTTTACTTCTTTTTAAATCATTAATTGTTTAGTAAGAGCCTTGTTACTAATGTAAAATGTTTCTGTGTATACTTATGTATTTTGCAACCAATCTGTATGCTTTCAGGAAATGGAAAAGGAAAATACAAAGAAAGATGAAGCTTTGAAAGCATTACAGAACCAAGTGTCTGAAGAAACAATCAAGGTTAGTATGCTAACACTTATTTTTCTTTTTAATGATAATTTTGTTTAAAAAAATCACAAAGACCATTAAGAGCTAAGTGATTGACTTGAACCAATATATTTTCACAAATTATACATTTATATAGTTACCTCTCTAATTTATAGACTAGCCTCTTTATTTTTTGTCCTTAATTTTCTTTTTAAGCTTCGACTAGAATCACTGCTTTTCAATGTTACCGCTAAAGAATTCACAGGAAATGAAGGGAAGTGAAACTAAAAGTAGCTCTGTTTTACTTCCTTCTACTAATTCTACTACAAGATTAACTGAAGAATGAAGCTGGAGTTCTGGATAAAATATGATTTGACTATTAGTAAATGTTCATGGTTTAAAAACCTGGGCTTTGAAGCAAAATTGACTTCAGTTGTGGTCTGGCTTCGGCATACTTACTAACTTGCTACAACCTTGGCCAGATTCCATATGCTTTTTGAACGTTAGTGTCTTCATCTGTAAAACTGGGGAAATAATACCCTAGACAAGGGTCAGAGTGACAATTAAGTCTAATGAGATCATAAGATACTCAATTGAGAATAGCACAAGTATTTAGCTATTGATTTTAACTCTTGGTTGTTGAGTGCACAAGTTGATTGCTATTGATAGTGGCCCCTTGTGACATATGTACTCTTTACAGAAATAGATACAGATCTTTCCCTCAAAGAGATGCTTGGAGGTCCCGAGGGAGTATAAAGGATGGACTTTGGGGCCAGGACGTGGCACCCCATCAGACTCATCCGGAAAACACTCCTAAAGGTCAACAAACAGACCTTGAAC